CAGTGTAGGGTCTCCAGTATCTGGAAGGTCAAAAGTTAAGTGGAGAAAGTTCTCTTTAGCCATTCCTACCTCCTCTTTCATAGCAGGCTCTCTCTTCTAGGATGTGATTCATCTGGTCAAATACAATCTAATTACTTCCACTCTATATGAGCAAGAGTAATAAACAGGACAATTAATCTGACCCTACACACCCTTGTTGGAATGAGGTATATCACACTCTACTTTTTGGCCCTGAATAGTCTGGGTGACTAACCCGTATGTGTATGTTGCATTTAAGACTCAATGCAATTCATGGTTCTGGTAGACAGTTTCCCTAGACTGCCAACACCTGAGACTTAGAAGCCTAAATATGCCATGTTAATATCGGTAGGATTTAAACATCTAGCTAAGAATTTGGCCTCTATTTACTATCACTGTATGAACAAAAGATGGTACTACTCATAGAGTCCTCGGGCCCTCCATCTAGATGCCTCCAAGCGACTTACTACAGAAATTCAATGATTACTCAGCCTAACAGGCAGCTCAAGACAAAAGCAGAGTATTCTTGATGCCAGGCACCTATTCTCAGTATTACAATAATGTCTGTAGACCACATCAGGGAATCATTTGTCTGCACAATACTAAATTATATATAGTTTAAAAGCATAATCTCCTAAAAAGCTTGCAATGTTATGGAGAATAAGTAAAACACAGATACTATGGAAAGAACAGGAAACATTTCTATCTAGACTAATTCTGCATATAGCAACATCACTAACTGCCTAACTTAGCTGATATACTGCAAATCACATGAAAGTGTTTTCTAATGGATGAGGTGTAAGCTTTAACTCAGCCTTAACTTTAGCTTTGCTTCTACTAGCTTCTTTATGGTGCTGAAGTAGGTGTGAGATTTAATTCCTAAAGGATCTTTGTCATGTAAAGTTGGCTGGAATATAATTCCATGAATGCTATAAATGTTTGCAAGGAATAACTGAATAGAACTTGACAGTTAAATTGCAGTATTTCCCCAAAGTTGGTGTAACCTTCATATAGTTTATGCTTTGGTGAACGTAATGTTATGAAGGTAAAAATGTTTTCATTTGAGAAGCAAAAAGCTGAAAAAACCATCAATGCAACCACTATGCATTTGTAGTACTATATAACTTGCCTGTGCTTTACATAACACTTCAAGTATTTATGATACAAAAAGTCTTTAAGTAAAAAAAGTGCTTAGACTTAACTCAGTGCTCTTGAATATACCTGAGTAAGATTCCACCATCTGGTTTAGTCATATCCTATACAGCGCCCCCTACAGCGCGATCCTAGTTCTTTGACTATACAAATATTTATAGCTAGGTGATGAACTTTTACAGCTATTTAGAAGGCAAATTCATATTCTTCTTCCTCAGATATGTACTGGAAGATCCTGGGAAAAGACTTATGGAAAATAAACGTGATTTCAGATGCTTTACTCCGTCTTTAAGGTATCCGAAGTTGGGAACTAGAAAGAATGAGCTCGTAGTTCATGCTTGGAGAACAGTCCCCTGCAAGTCATCTTAAGCAGTGGATCCACAAATTAGGAAAGAAAATGACCATAATATTCTGTGTCTCTACAGAACATCAGGTATGCGGGAATCAAAATAGATGCATAACAGTTACCAATGTTGACGAGCAAAAAAGGACAAATAAACAGAATTGACATATGCAGACAAGAATTACAGAAGAAATACTTCTAACAGGTACATAAAAGCCTTTTCAGCTTTGCCTGTATGACTGGTGGCCTAGCATACAAAAAGCTGTCCCTTACCTGTAAAGGTAAGGGAAGGATGCTCTGTGAAAAGAACAAAAAAATAGCTGACAGACTGGAAATATTTTGAGTAGCTTGTCAGCTCTGCGCTGTCACTAGAAGTTAACTTCGGTAATTACAGGTACCTTAGAAACACTGGCCTGGAAAGCACTTCCTGGATGCGATCACAAAGTAGACACACTATCACCTCTCTTGGGTATCTCAAGCTTCTGATCAAGCCTCAGATGCAATTTCATTTAGAGCCTATTGAGACTGCGCTAAGAGATAGCCTGACGGGAGGTCATCAAGGCACGGAGAGAAATCATTTGGCTCTTTCTTCCAACCCTGGCCGCATTTGGCACTTCAGTGAAGTGAGGGACACTGTTTTTGGTGACAGTGCTAAGCAGCAGTCTGCAACACCTAAATAGCATGACTGCTGGAGCACGTGTATTACGCAGTGGATTACTACAGTATTTTCTAGTGAGGAGCACGTTCCTGCAGTACACATCCCACAACCTCTTGCGCCTCCCTCACTTCATCTTCTTCACATCCACCTCTACTCACAGCCTGCAAAAACAGTGAAACGGGCAAAGGGAGAAGACTCAGTCCAAGGCCCACAAGCACATCCACGCAGAAGAAATAGCAACCCCTACGAAAGCCACACAGGCCCTGAGAAACATCCCCTCCTGACACACGTAATGGCTTTTTCAACACAGGGCACAGCACAATGGATGGAAGTCAGCCAACTTGTCCTAACCAGCAATCTCCAGCACACAAGATCAGCTTTTTCTGCTCCCTTTGAAGCACCCACAGCAGTGGGTCTACACAGGTACTACAGGGCCTTACACCTTTGGCTCTCAGTGCGCCACATTCTTCATGTATCTAAACACCTGCTTGGAACATGCAGTGCTTTATCCTCCCAACTTCAAACACAAATAAACAATCTATTCCCATCAAAATCTCCAAGGCACATGGAAGCCATGGTGCCTTCTCCTCCCAGCAGATATCCAAGCTTGCCTCAGAACCACCAGAGCTCACAAGTATGCTGGAGCAGAGCCCAGGCTGGAGTCAACTGGCTCCAGCCAGACATCATCTGGATTTATCTGTTCAGAAAAAAGTGAGGGGAAAAAAGGGACAGAGGAATTTGAGAACCAGAAGTCTTCCCTAGTTGCCAAGGGCAAGCAACTTCTGCATGCCAGAAGAATACTTTTACTGCAGTTCATGACAAAAAGCTTCTGATGTTCTCCCAGTCTTGCACAAAGCATAAACTGTCAAAGGCAGACCATAAAGAACTGCCCTCATATGGTTCCAGTGTAGTCAGGTAGAAATTATCCAAGTAAACTCAAATACATACCCTTTTCTGGGCAGTGCCTCAGAAAAACTCTGAAAATTATGAATTATTGGAAGACTCACTTCAAACATCTTAAGTCTCCTATCCTGGAACTATCCATTTGCCAGAATCAATAATGAAAGGGGTACCAGAGTACACCTTTCAAGCACTGCGAACAGCTGGGAAAGTTGTAGTTCTCATACAGAGTGCAAGTCTGTCAGAAATACTGTCCCAAGAAAGCTGGGCTATCTTCAAGAGAAGGGCAGGCAAAAAAGCTGGTTGCTTGCATCAGGGGGAGGACAGAGGCACATCAGATATGGAACAGGAACGCATATATATGACTGAGCAGAAATAAATGCTGTGAGAGACTGGTACCACACTGGGTTGTTGCTAGGCAGATTTTAGTTGCCTGGCAAATAAACTTTTAGTTGCCAGTCCCAACAATCAAGTAGCAACTCTGAAGAAATCCTGAGTCGGAACGCAAGATAATGAAGATGGGAGAAGAGGGAAAACAGGTATCACACTCACTTGTAATTGCAATGCTGAGAGGGGCTCTGGGTGCAGTTTGTTCATACAGCTTTGGGGTTGAGGGGAACATGCATCATTCATACATGGTCAGGTAGGGGGACAGGCCAAGCAATGATGGAAGATGACCTTATCTACTGATCTCATCAGACCTGTTTTGAGCAGCGGACTGGAATAGATGACCTTTCGAGGTTTCTTCCAACCTGCATTATCATTCTTTGATTCTCCTACCTCAGGCACATGAGCATTTTGCCACAATATAGAGTTTTTGAAGAGCCACCCAGCAGCACAGCATAAGAGGTATTAGTGGAAGTTATGCCATGCAACCTTCAACAGAAGGAGCTAACAGGCTCTCAAGCACTTGAGACATATTCAAGCATCCAAATTTGGGGACACTAAGACAGACCATCAGCACTCCAAAAGACGCGGAGTAGAAAAAGGGGGTACAAAAGTGCCAAGTCGGTTATCTTTATTTCAGAAATTCTGGAACATAATCCAAGCTGTGGGACAGCCAGAAATGCTGTAATACAGTATCTTCGAGGACACAATTTACAACAGTAAGTCATGCTGACAGAGAAGAAAGAAGTCAGAGCTAATGACTGACTCCCCACACAGGATAGCAAACATGAAAAACATTAGGATAAGTCTTCTGAAAACCTCAAGAAAAGAGAAAATAACATCCTGCATGCTAGTGGGCATGAACTAAGAGTAATACAAATGAGTTCCAGTAAAATTGATTAGTGAGAAGAAAGAAGTTGGAAGGGGAACTGAGGAGAAAGTAAGCCTGCACTGATAACTCGTGTGCATCCTAGTAGCTTTCAGGTATAAGTAAAGCCTGAGGAAGGACCAAAGCTCTGTCTGTCCTGAAAAATTGCTTCTGGAGGCAAAGGGCAGCTGAGCCAAATCTGTAGCTGTAAAGAGCTGTAAATACAGAATTCTACAGCATTTCCTTAAACAGCTAAAGATAACACTTCTCAAATGACATATTTAACATTCGCATTCATTTGGTTATGCTTTTCTCCTTTAAACTGACTAATTTCTGTAATCAATTTGTAAACTAAAATTTGCTGTTTTCACTTAAAATCTGGGTAGCTTTTAAAGTGAGCTCAGGTAAAAAGCAAGGAGCAATCATCCAGCTTTTACCTAAGACAGCAAACCTGAAAAATACACAGCACAAACCAAACCACTAGGGTTTCTGCAGCCAAGAGATGGGGAAAATCAAGATCCGGGAAGGCCCATCTCCCTTCTCCTCCCAAAAGGCTAGAAAAGTCAGTATGGAAATCTGCAAAAGCCCAAAGTCATATTACTGAGAACCAGGCTGAAAGAAAATGTTCCCTCACAGAAGATGCTCAGTACCTTTTGATGAAGGTCAGTGGCAAACTACTTAAATGGAAGAATAAAATGCTGTTTGACAGTAATGACAAGAAAAAAGTGAAGAGGAAAGCAAATATCACTCCAGTCTTCAAAAAGGGCAAGAAGGAGGAGCCAGGAAACTGCAGGCCAATCAGCCTCACCTCCAGCCCTGGAAAGGTGAGGGAACAGCTCATCCCGGAGGCCATCTCTAAGCATGTGGAGGACAAGGTGGTGATCAGGAATAGTCAGCATGGATTCACCAAAGGGAAATCATGCTTAACCAATCTGATGCTTAACCAACCATTCTCTGATGGAATGACTGGCTGGGTAGAGGAGGGGAGAGCAGTGGATGTTGTCTACCGGGACTTCAGCAAGGCTTTCGACACTGTCTCCCATCACCTCCTCCAAGGTAAACTCAGGAAGCGTGGCTAAGATGCGTGGCCAGCGAGGTGGATTGAGAACGGGCTGGATGGCCGAGCTCAGAGGGTTGTGGTCAGTGGCGCAGAGGCTAGTTGGAGGCCTGTAGCTAGCGGTGTCCCCCAGGGGTCAGTCCTGGGTCCAGTCTTGTTCAATGTATTCATCAATGACCTGGAGGAAGGCACAGAGTGCACCCTCTGCAACTTTGCTGATGATACTAAACTGGCAGGAGTGGCTGATGCACCAGAAGGCTGTACTGCCTCTCAGAAGGCTGGAGAGATGGGCAGAGAGGAACCTCCTGCAGTTCCACAAAGGCAAGCGCAGGGTCCTGCACCTGGGAAGAAATAACCCCATGCACCAGTAGCCCCCCAAGTCAAGCATGAGCCAGCAATGTGCCCTCGTGGCCAAGACGACCAAGGGGGTCCTGGGCTGCATTAGGAAGAGTGTTGCCAGCAGGTCGAGGGAGGTGATCCTGCCCCTCTCCTCAGCCCTGGGGAGGCCTCACCTGCAGTCCTGTGTCCAGTTCTGGACTCCCCAGGACAAGAGTGACATGGCTCTACTGCAGAGAGTCCAGCCAAGGACTCAAGGGGCTGCAGCATCTCTCATGTGAGGAAAGGCTGAGGGAGCTGGGCCTGTTCAGCCTGGAGAAGAGAAGGCTCACAGGCGATCTCATCAATGTGTACAAGCATCTGAAGGGAGGGTGTCGAGAGGATGGGGCCAGACTCTTCTCCGTGGTGCCCAGCCACAGGACAAGAGGCAACGGGCACCAGCTGAAACACAGGCAGTTCCATCTGAACCTGAGGAAAAACTTCTTTGCTGTGAGGGTGACTGAGCACTCGACCAGGTTGCCCACAGAGGTTGTAGTGTCTCCTTCCCTGCAGATATTCAAAACTTGCCTGGATGCAATCCTAGGTAATGTGCTCTAGAAGACCCTGCTTGAGCAGGGGGGTTGGACTAGATGATCTCCAGAGGTCCCTGCCAACCTCAACCATTCTGTGATTCTTTACAGATTGATTTTTTTTCCTGATCTTGTTTATTTTGGGTCAGAGTGATGACAGTGGAGAACTTAAAATGCTAAGAATATATCTGACCAGACTCACAGCTAGTACAAAATAATTTAGAAGGATTTCAGACAGGTAAGAACAGGGAACAGGAGAAGAAAATATAAATTCCCATTTGGGATCAAAGATGATAAAATGGGGCAAAAGAGTGGTTGGTGATGCTGAGGAAAATTTTTCATCCTTTATGCCTCTCATGCACCTCAAAAGCTTTTTTGCATGCTTTTTTGCACACAGCCAATCTGGTAGTGCCTCATCCCAGCGAGTATGATACTGAAATATCTCACACCTGTACGTTCAGGGTTTCAGCTATCCATAAGGATGCAGCCCTTCCTTGTTGCAGGGCCCACAGGAACTGCAGAAGCAATTGTCCTAGCAATGCCCTTCTAAATGACACATAAGCCTTACGTGCCAGATCTGGAGGGAGTAAGCCCAACTCACCAGGTCAGAAAGGGGTTGATCTGCTCCAAGGAGAAACAAAGCTGCTTGTTGCTGTTAGTACTATATTTCTGAGCATTCCTGCTGTTAAGCTAGAGGTGGAGGCAGAGGTAGAAGGTAGAGAAAGAGCGAGCGCTCACGCATGCAAGAGAGAAACAGAGAGAGCACATGCACATGCATGAGCAACTCCTTTCCTCCCATTTACCCACAGATGTGCTAACAATATTAAGTCACACCCTAAGAATTTAGTGCAAAAACATCAACCGCTGCCCCTAGTAAAAATAAAGTTTCCAGACCAATGTTTAGGGACAGAGCAAATAAATTCCCCACAGGAAAAGATACATTTCACCACGTGACACATCAGTGCTGTAGATGTAAAGTGGCCTGTTGCTATGATTAGCAAATTAATCCAATCCTTCCAAAGACTAAATGCTAAGACAGGTTTACAGATGCTGTGGCCCCTACTATTGACCTATGTCAAAGGCTAACACCTGACTAATGCAAATAGAAACATATCAAGAGGTATTTGAGCTAGTAAGAAACCCTGTAGAAGTTCAGACTGCCATTTAACGAGCTGCTTAAGCTCTCTGCCTATTGAGCTCTGAATTTAGGCAATGCCAATGCACATGGAGGGAGAACCCTGTCCCTCCAGGCAAGAAGCTTACCCCTTGTGTGCAGGAGTATTTTATCTTTAAATAGAGCAGAAGCAGGTATTATTGATTATGCAGGCAGTGGAATTAGCTCAGATTTCAAGCCTTAAGACAGCATTCCCCTTTGGTTTTGTTGCAGAAAACAGAAAAGCAGTGCATATAAGTTCATTAAGCTAGAGCTGAGCATTGCAGAACGTATGCATCTACAGAGGAAGGAGACAACAGTGATGAGCGCCCCCTCCTAGCTTGAGATCTTCTGTCTGATAGCTTCAAAATAAACTCTCACTCACTTCTACCACACCAAAGATGAGGACTGCTGTGTTGACAACACAGAAAAATCTTAGACCTGAGAGTGCCCTGGGGCAAAGAGGAAACAATACTGAGGTAACTTAAAATTGTAGGAATTAATCTTTTGACATAGGCACTCTGGACAGTGTTCAAGGGCAGACTCATGATTTGTTCCCTCATATTATACTAGCAAGGGTGTTCCCAAAACCAAACCAAGACACTCCTGTGGGTAGACACTGAGAGCTCTAGCAAGACAGAAAAACCGCCACCCCCCTTTCTATAGTGTCCAGTTAAAGCTGCAGGAACATTTTTTGGGCCTACTCAATAGTTCAGAAACATACTGCATCCAGGTCAATGCACTGACCAGAAACCTCATCGCAGAGAGTACAGTGCTACAACTGTTGATTTCACTACTGCTGGACTAGATGTAGACACATGCTCATGAAGCTCTAGGGTGTCTGACTGTCAGAAAGGCTCTGATAATCTTCATATGGAAGAGTCGTGGCCCATACCCATACCACAACATAAAATGGAACACAATAAAACCCTTCCTGCATGCTGTAGAAAGACAATGGAAATGGAAACAACTGCTGTAAATTCAGCCCTATGTTATCAGAGTGCACTGAGCCCACAGAGGACAGGGAACCAGCAGACAAATTATAACTTCAGGACTGGAGTCGTACATTTTCAACAGCTCGAAATGACAGATACATTTCCTCTACGGGTAAGCTTTTACACTGATGCATGCCTAACACATCCATGTCCTGTGTACTCGCGGGTAAGATTTTTGGCTTCCAGATTCACCCTGAAGATAACTGCTGTATTCCCCAGAGCAGACCCAATGACATTTCGGCACACAAAATCCCTGAAGGACTGGGATTTTGGCCAAGGATTTTGCTAGTATATCCTCATATTTACATGGTTGAGGCCACTGTGGGTGAAAAACTCCAAATGAGCCCTGCTGGCCAAAGAAAGAAGCTTCAGAGAAGAGCACTTCACACTTATCTTCACCTGAGGACAGCATGAAGGCAGGCAGGCCGAGCTCTCAGAGCACAGAGAACATGAACACTGGTCATCTGAAACACGCCAGTCAGCAGCACAAAAGACTCCCACGTAAGATACCTAAGCCAGAGGGGAGCTAGCTAGTTAACATTACTGCTGCCTTTTAGATCCTTCTAAATTATGCTCATTATCAAAAGCCATTTCTGAAATCCCAGTCTGTTTCTAGTATTGCTGAAAGATTTTAATATATTCCACTGTATATATTTGTAGTAATATTAAAACTGTTTGCTTAAAACTGAACTTACCAGATGGAATATTCTTATCATCAATAATAAGATGGGCAAAAGGTTGCTTCTCAGGTTTACTTCTCTTGTAGAGATCCATTCCTAAGGCTTGCATTGCAGCTAGAGATAAAAGAATTGCATGACTTCAGAAAACATGTTTAGTAGAATTTGAAATATTTTTTTATGCATAAATCAGTGCCTACCTTTTTCTGGTCTTGGTAGTTCTCTTCCCATGACACGCTGCACTTCCTAAAATGAGAAAGAGCAATTGCTTTGATATTGCCTTGCTTTTTTACAATACTGCATATTGTATATCGCTTGCAAGACCCTTTTCTAGTTATTCTAGTTGGAACGTTTCTGCAAGCATAGTGGAACAATGGCTGCCAGGAACACATCACATGTAACAGTGAAACCCCAATTACCCCAATTAGTCAAAAGGTAATGAGAGGTAGTTCCACATAGGGACAACTAGTGAGTACTTACACTAGTAACTGGGGAAAGCTAAGGTCTGCATTTCATTAGCGATGAGGAAAATGAAACCACCTCTGCCCCTCACACCCAACCAGCTACAGGACAGGTGGCAAGACAATTACAAAGCCTTTGCGATAGCTTGTACAATTTTGTTCGCCTCAAACAACCCCAGGCATGTAATCATGACACTTCTAGCAAAGTACACAAGAAAAAGGATCAAAGCATTTTCTCCATCTGGACTGGGTCACATAAATCGGGTGCCAGGATCTGGATGTATGAATCCTTTAGAACGGTAAATGAGTTTTAACATGAATGAGGACCATGTTACCAAGAACCACACTAAAAACAGACACCAGGCACTGCTGCAAAGCCTTACTTTCAACAACCCCCTTTCCTTCTTGAAGAAGCACACAAACAGCAGTTTTCAAAAGTCTAAGCACCATGTGCTTGTAACAAGTCTGCACCTGGTCTTGACAATATTTGAAGGTTTGATCTTCAGTTCTATCCCAGCTTCCCCCTTGACTCTCATCTCAGTTTCCTGTCTGAGAAACAGGGATAATATTCTCCTTCTAGCTATTCAGATTACCTAGTATCATGGAGCGATCAAAAATGAAAGGAAACATTTTGCAGCAGATATCAAGCCATTTTCTTATTTATAAAGCCTAAGCATAGTCCTGTGTTTTGTCTTCATGTTGCAAGCACTAGCACTGTTTATTCTCTTGCTAATTCAATACCATGTATCTGCAATATGCCTCGGGCATTTGGCCAGACCAGCAATGCTCCCTCGCATTCTCAATCACTGTGGTGTTTTAGAATTTGAAATCCTACTTTGAAAACATCTCAAGTCCTGTCCTTATGTAATTTTGCAACACCTTAGCTGCTACATTTATGTATTCTCACTTTTCCCTTTCAGTACGTATCTAAATGTTAAACCAAAATGGAAACCCACAGCAGAATGGAAGTTGTAGTATGACTATCAAAGCACGATACTTCAGCAGAGATATGCTGATTTTATAGATAAGAATCAAAGATGCTTTCTGCTGTAGAGCCGAGAAAAAAGCAGAATTGCAACTTCAAAAGACGCATAACCCATGTCCACATTCCCTCATTTACATTCACTTCCCCTCTCTGATCTTGCTACTTCAATGTCAGTTCTAGGAGCACGAACATGAAGCTCCAATTCTAAGAGCTGCAAACGAGCATCGGGCTCTAGCCACACTTGAGTTTTTAATCTCATGAGAAGCAGGAAGAACAACTGCAAGTAGTGGGTATTGCCAGAAGTGGCAAAAGCACCTGAAGAGAACAGGTAGAGAAGACAGAGATGACTGGGAGATGCACCATGCTCTACAAGGTTACTGCACCATACCTGTTCCCAAACCTTTTACTAGAAAGGAGAGGCTCCTTCTTTGTTCTCTTGTTTCCTAAGGGAAGCCTTTTGGAGGCGGAGTCTGCTTTTGTATCCTCTCCTTCCAGTGGATGTGATAATGCACTTGCTTGGAGAGACTGATAAGCAGATCTAAAAAAATCTATGCAGTTTTTAATCTCCTATTATCTAAAGATATGATTTAAAAAAATCCCTTGTTTGGCAACTGCATAGCCATAGGAGTCCCTAAGCTGGCCAATCATTATCCTCCTTTTAACCTAAATTTTTCTTAAGAGCCTGGAGTTCCACTTCTGCACATGTCCAAAGTCACTCTGCCTTCAGCAGCTTGGTACCTCACCTTCTGAGATCTAGCAGCCTGACTCAGCAGTCCTCCCATGTGGAAAGAAAAGGGTGTGCTCCTCATGAAATTCAGCCTGAGCTGCTTTCTTTTCAGCTCATTGGTGTTGGTGATGTTCATCTGCTACATCATCATTTGGTAGGCAGAAGAGCTGCCCAGGAAAAAATGGGCCCTCAGCCCTCCTTGTCCCAAGGGGCTTGAATCCATCCTTCCCGCTTCCTAGAAGCATCTCTACCCTACCAAACTGGAACTGGGTTTGACAAGAACACTCTTCTCCTCTTAAAGCTAGGCTACTACGCAATAAAAAAAAATGCAGGTGTAATTACAGATTAAAAGAGTGCACCCAAGACTAATACACTGAGAAGAGCTGGAGTCTGGCTTACGCTCAGAGGATCTTCTGCACGCTTGTCATTGAATGAGAAGCGGCTAACCTGGGGCTGGAACACAGGACTCCCCCACCAGCTGAGTTCCCCAAGCACTGGGCAAGAGTCATGCTCTTCGCTTGATTCTGCCCAGCCCCATTAATTTTGACATTCCTTTCTGTTCACTGGCCCAATTATCAAACAGGAAACTGAAAGAAATACATGAACTAGTCCCTAGAGAACAGAGATGGAGCTGTGGGTTTGCTCACAGAGAATGATACTGTATTGCAATGCTTCTCGATTTTTACTTCATCTGTTTCTACAGTTCCAACATACTGATACATAACCCACCCTAGAAGAGCTCTCAAGTATTTACTCACTTCTCCTGACTCTGGAAGGCTAGGAACCACATTTTTGAGTGCTATCTGGATGCCTAAATACGGCCTCTTAATGGGATTATAAAAATCCCCTTGAATCCTCACAGCAAGAAATTAAAACACAGGATTTTTCAAATCTTCAACGTATCAACTGCATTTCTACATATGTGAATACTTTTAAGCATCCCATACCCCTAGTCACAATCTGTAGAACAATTACAAAAGCAGAAACAGCTCAGCAGAACTTGTCACAAAGATATTCCTTTAATGGCATGAGAACTGCTGACAAATTATTACCAGTGACATCTCTTAGGACTTCCTCCCGCAGAAGCATGCGCACTACCAAGCTGTTATTTTTAGCAAAACTGTACACAAAAATCACACCACATTGTTAGTCTTACAATCAGGTGTACTTGCACACCTTTGACTGCGTCATTTGCTCGCTGCCCACCAAGTCATCTCTGCTGGCTTGCTTCCCACATTCCAACCTCTTTCATACAGAAACTGTTTAAACAGCAAGCAAGCAACCAGTCAAAAAAAGAGAAATGTGTCTTCCTTTCTTCAGAAATTTTAGGGGGCCTTGGGGAAGCTGCTAAACTGTCAAATTTTTGAAACTGAAAAGGTGCTTTAAATGTTTGGAAAAATCAGGAATTGCTTTTTTGTCATCCAGTGGACTGCAGGTTTTACCTCTCAGACAACCATCAGGCTTATTACTACACTAGCATCTTAGCAACTTCAAAACCCAACTCACGCTCTTAAAAATTATATGCAATGTTAAGAATGCATAGATAGGCCACTGAAGGAGCTTAACAATTGAGCATGCGAGAACATTTGTGAATGATTTTTCCTTCTTCTTTGGCTTTTAAATATTCCAGTATCTACTCTGAGTAGCTATAAATAGCCTTTTGAGCTCAGTTAGACGAGACCTTCTTGACATTCATGTATTGCTTCAGCTGCGAGTCTAAAGCTCCCTTATTCAGTTTGTTCTACTACCTCAGTGCTTCAGGTCCAATTAATACTAAGAAGAGAAGTATGACTACCTCGCCGGAAAGTCACCAATTTGAAGAATGCTAATCAGGAAGGAAGTGAAAGTACATGAACCAATATTCTGAAGAAGATAGTTTAGAGATTAGCACTACAACCTCTATTCAAATGAATAGTCCATTACCCACAAAGAAAAGGCATGTAAGGGTGTATGATTAAAACCATGACATTTTAACAACTTACAACAATCACCAGTGACACCTTGACTTTGTCCATACCTACGTGCTCTTAATGTCTACTAAATATACAGATCTCTTCACAAAGGCTGTCCTGAAGGTCTAGCAACAAAGCACTTTTTTGCCATGTGGGAGACTAGTTTAGGCCTGAACTCCCCAAGCTGCCAGAGGCTGGGACTATTGCCAAGAGAAGTTACTTCATGAATTGACTCCGGGTATGTTTGTCGTTCTTTCTACTTCAGACTCATAATTGACTTCATAAGACGTGTGGTTAGTGCATCTGGACTGCAAGAGGGTTTTTAAGGATATGCACAAAAAAATTAAACATAGACTAGGAAAGCATATTTTTTGTCTGCTTGAAAGTTTTTAGGCAATATTTAAAGTGTTTTCTACTGAGCAAGCTGCTCCCTAAGCAGTATTTTTATCCAAGAATCTGTTGAGGAATTCAGCACTAGATTTTCTTTAAAAGAAAATTTTGAATTAGTACATTTGTAGGAGATAAATGTTTCTGGATCCCACCTTGCAGCCCCGCTACACTGGTTTTCATAAGAGCACTTTCAAAGTCAACCCTTGCTTTAAATTTAAACACTGATCTCCAGGTGTGCAAGGAAAACGGATGAGAACCAGTGCAGTAAGCTAAAATCTGTAACCAGACCATAACCTTAAGCAAAAGAAAGCTGTCTATTTTCATTTCCTGAGCCTCTTGAATTGCAAAAGACAAACAATCAAAAAAAATCACAAAACTTAAACTGTATTTCAAAGTGTTCCATTTCAGTCACCTAATGTACTGCCAATTCAAACAAGGATAACTGATTTTAACACACACACAGAGGTTAGATTCTCCTTCAGGAAAGTGAACAAAGCAGAGAGGACAGGAAACCTCTTTCCACTCACATCAGCTGCATTCCCTCACACAAAAGACTAGCACAGCCGGACATAAGATTCAGCTGCATCTCTCCCCTTGGATATAGCACTGCCAATGAAAGACACAGCTTTATCATGATTACAAAATCATGATAAAGCATGATATTGCCTTAACACTGGCACTTTCACTTCTGTGATATACTTCTACAATATATTTGCATCTGAAAAGAGGCAAATACAGCCCTGGGCACGCATTATTCTGTTTTTTTGTCTCTTTCATCAATATATGATGCCAAAGCATCAAGGACACAGACCCAGCTGCATAACACACTTTGTTGCATTCAGAGGGAATTTGGAGCCTGATTACTTTGGCAGGAGAAATTTTATTCTTCTGAAACTAATGGCCATCAACCAAAAACATCATCCCTACTTGCTACTTATCTTAGCCACGGACATTGCAGCATTCAACCTCTATCCAGAATGGCAGGATATGCAGTCTCCGCTAAAGCCAAGCCTTTGTTGAGTAACCAGCAGTGAATAACCAGAATACAGGGCTTCCCATTCACTTACTGTAACAAGCTCCTTACACTGTCAAGGGAGTTGCATGAAAGAGCAGTCTAGTACTTGCACACAGAACACAGAAGTGCATGTAGTATGAGTGTGTCTAGGAAGAAAAGAAGAAAAAACTAATCCTATAGAGCTGAACTATTTTCTTGAGTTTTTAAAGGAGGACGAGTCACAAACTCTCAAGTTTTTTTTAAGTTTTGTTCACCAAAAAGATCCATAACTCAGTTCTGTATTAAAAGTAAACGTTAGCACAATTAAAGTACCATATAATTAAGTACAATTCACTCTATGCAAAGTGCGCCTAAGTTGAATTCAAGGCTAACACAGTTTCTTTTATGAACAAAAATATTGAAGTTTTACGTAGCTGTGAAGAAGTGAAGTAGTAGTGGACCTGCTAAGTCAGAAAAAACAAGCACCATAGCACACATTCAGCATTTAAATAGCCCTAGTTAGTTCATAATTAGCACTAAGCACGCTTATGAATGTAAAAACAGATTAGAATCAATAATTGTCTGGAATAAGGGGTATTGTGACAAGTATATCAACTTGCCCAGGTTTCTTCATTAGCGCTGATGTCTGTAGCTGACTACTTTTGTTATCTGTGTTTTGGGAACAAGCTGTCATTCTCAACTGCTGGACAAAGACTGCCTAGTTATTATGCTATGGCAAAGCAGTTCTCCCCCCCATGCAGGAATGGTCTGCACAGAACAGAGAATCGGCAAAGTGACTGAAAAAAGAAAAAGAGATACTATCCTTCACATTCTCGGTAGTCTGTCATCATACGACATAAAAAAAAGTGAGAAACAAAAGGAAACAAGAGCAGATACTATTCATTCTTTCAGTCAATATTTTGCACATCAGTGATCTTGACTAAGATGAGAACTGAGTCAGAACCAGTCAGGAGACTGGTCTGAAAAAAGCATGGAACTGTCCTTTGTGAACATCCAAACTGCTGGCAAACCTACACATGCTAGCACAAATGACCACCATTTAAAGCCGCCCCAGTGTCAGAATGGCCAGTCAACTAACCACAATCATGGTTTTCTGTGTGAATTCAGGCCTGCCTTTGTTAAAAAAAATAAAATAAAATAAAATTAGTTTGAATACAGAACTGGTTAACCACTACCACATGGGTAAACACAGTATGATCTTGTATGCAACTCCAGGTATTATTCAAACTCCAGAAAATACTTTTTAGAACTTACCTCTGAATATAAAAGTTGGAAAACTTGTTACAAGTTTGACAGGCACATGAAATAAAGGAAAAACAAAGCCTCTATCTAGCACTTACCTTCTGTACAGCCCTTTGGAGAGCTTGTTTCATACTTCCACATGAGTCAGGCATTAACTTTGCTTCTTGACTTTCAAATGGTGTCTCTTGCAAATCTGTACTTCCTTGAGCTCTTAAAAATGTTCTTACACAGTGTGCATCTTCTTTTGAAATTCTATTAGGGTCCATCTGAAAAAAATATAAGCACAGCCACAGTTTTAAGTGTTTGCCCAACAGATATTAGAGAGTATTTAAGTCAGGGAGAATTTTAAACTATTTGAAAGAACTTAACACCTAGTTAAGCCCATTATTTAGATTTTCATTGTCAACAATGAGGAGAGAAACTTCCCCACAGGAAGGTTTGTCATCCTGAAGTACATAAGAGAGAAGAATGAATTATCTCCTGGAGCTGTCTACCTCATTAGCTTAGACTGGATACCTGACTTAAAAGTTAAAGATGATAAATTCCACCTTTACAGCAAAATCAGTAATCCTGAATTTCTTTTTTAAACAACTACGTGCAATCTCATGAGTATTTTAGCAGGCAACATATACAGCCCTCTCATCCAAACGAACTGTAGCTTGCAAGTTGACACACAAATGCCAAGTAGGGCAAGTTGAGGGATGTATCTAGCACATCCTTTTGAAGAGGAGAAAGAAAAACAGGTGCCAGTTATTGCTGAAAATATTCAGGGGGCAAGACATTGCTGAGTGAAACAGTTATCAAGACAGCACAAATTCAGGAAGACCACGTAACTATGAAAGCGTACCACAAAAACAACTCTATGTATCAGAAAAAGACAGGTAAACCTAGAACAACTACAAGATACTTTTAGTGATCAACCTCTGACTGAATCAAATATTCTATTTTTAAAGTATATGTTTAGAATTCTAAGTCCTATCAGCTAGATAAGATAGAAAGTTGGATATTCTAAACACTGGGATTGTACCTTCACAGAGTTTAATTGCACAAACATCATTTAAACCACTTCACCCTCTGTCCCCCCACTCCAGAACCCTTACCCTCAACAGATACTACCTAATCTTTCTTTCAGAGACAGCCTAAGACTCCTGGCAATTGTTCTCAACTTGTATTTATTCTGCTTTTACTTCAGACACTAAGAAGGATTCGTGTTCCCAAAACCCTAAGTTTGCTAACAATACCAGCTGGTCTAATAAGACATTTACTTCTACCTTTGTGCATAAGGTAAGGCCGAAGAGCCACGTCACATCTGAGAATTACAGAAGGTAACGTATTATTCACAGTCACAAAGAGGAAATACCAGGCCATTACATATATGGCCTGACCACCGCTCAGTTTCCTTTAACGTAAGACCGAACAAAACGGAATACCAAAAGGCAGGCTTGCAGGATAGCGAACAGCCAGAGCGAATCACACGTTGTATCGTTGGCTCACACGTACGTGAATTCTATTCCCTAATCCCAAAAGGGAACCAAGCTAACTTAAAAGCATACAGTTAGGATTACAGAAGTGATCAGAATTTAAATCTACATCAGGCAGGCAGCCATCCAACAGACGCTGCAAAGAAGCATTTGCTACACAGATGGCTACAGCAACAGCAAACGTTGCCTCCTCTGTCACCATCCTTCTGCTGAAGGCTGCCTGATCCATCCAAACCAATGTCAGCCCACAGCTACCCCTGTAGATTTGGAATGAAACAGGTCAGGAAAGGTTCACTTGAAGATCACAGGCAGCCATAACTTTGAGCAGAGGGGTAATGAGTAACAGGACGGCTTGGAGGCAATGACATTTTCCCAGGGTGATCTGACACAGCTGGATCCACAGGAAAATATGTGTACAGCTCTATGAATTAAGAGCTAAAATCTACATAAATAACCTCTAAAGTCAGCTGGTGCAGTGCAGCCCTGTAACAGTTTAAGCTGATCTAAAGCAGCATCTCTGGACTCGCATCCTCTTCACCATGAAATGCCACTCCTCTTTTAAATCAACAGCATGGAGCTCTAACCTGGGAGGATTTTTGCTGGTCTGGCTTCCTGAAGGATTAGCACCCTCAAAACTCCCTACAGAAATCAAAAGCATCAAAGACAGTGCAGGGACAGGCACACAAATGAAGGAGCAGGAAGGGAGTACCAGCTTTAACTACTGCAGAACTGTAAGCTAACAGTCTCCCTCAGTATGTTCCATTGGTGTCCAGATACCCAGAAAAATCAACAGTAAATGGAACAAAAAAATGAAGCACACCATGTTCACCAACAGCTGTTAAGTTACACAGAAAGAAAATAAAGAATAACTTGGGCTGAAAGGCACCTCTGGAGGTCTCTAGTCCAACCCGCTGCACGAAGCAGGGCCAACTTCTAAGTTAGGTCATGTTGCGCGAGGCCTCATCTAGTCAAGTGTTGTGGAATCTCCACCCACAGTGACTTTCAGCCTCTCCGGTCAAGCTCTTCCAGCATTTAACCATTTTCATTGAGAAGTATTTTTTCTGATGTCCAGTTGGAATTTTCCTTGCTGCAATTTATGACTGCACCTTCTGTTTTTGCTCTGTGCTTCTGAAGAGCCTGGCTCCATCTTCTCTATAACCCCTCTTTAGGTAGCTGAAGACAGTAACTAGCTTCCCTTACCTTAGTCTGTCCTTCCATAGGTTGAAGTAATCCACCTCTCCATTTCCTATGTACTACAGCCCCTACCTATCCCAGTGGCTCTCCACTGGCCTCTCTCCAGTTTTTGATCTCTTGTATTGGGAGATCCAAAACAATTCCAGATGTGGCCTCTGATGCTGGGATTATTAGAGACCTGAGGAAGTTAGAGTATTCAACAGGATTTGAATAAATGTGCTCCCCTCCACACCTGACACAGGATAAAAGATAGGGAGCCACAGTAAACAACTGCTGGTATTTTTTTAAATCAGCAGATACTACTAGTGAAAGATTATTATTACTCCAGCGTGGGATTTAAGAAAAATCTTCTGAAATATATACAAGGAACATGTGTTTTACAGCACAAAGATCATGAAATTTAGTAAGGGCTAGACTCTGCATCCAGCCTGACAAATCACATGTAGCATACACTTACAGGAATCACCCATCAGCAGTCAGTCAAATGGGTCAAACATTGTGCCAGAACAGTAACAGCAGCTTGTATGGAAGCATTTATTTGGATGATAGCTTATCTACTGAAGACAGAAACCCAATCAACATCCTCACACCTACAGTTAAAAGACAGCACTGAGAGTTTCAGCAGCTTACTTTAATGTTGTGCAACCCATTCTGATATAGTTTAAGTCTCTAGAGACTTAATGTGTTGATAAAGCCAATCTCTGATCTTGGGACTAGCTAACCTACCTAATTTCCCTTACCTTTTTCAAAAAATATCCAGTTGTCACCATATTTCAACCATAAAAATTAGCTCACCTGTCTAAACAGGCATCCTCAGGAATCCCGTATCTTACGTTTTATAAAAGACATTCACTAAACTGCCATGGCTGTGAACAGACATTACCAAGTACTGAAACCAAAACTGTGGGCAAGAAGGACCAACAGGAATACTTTCAAAGACATTTTTTGAAAAAAAACTTCTGAAGACCCAAAATAAAATACTGCAACGGTCTACAGGGAACAGCTTGCTAACTTGCAAGGCACAGGAGGTTAGCCTTTGAATAAACAGAGGTCTACAGCACAAAGTCCTAAAGATTTAACATCTAGAAAAAGTATCAAAGTGCAATCAACAATATTGAATAAAGCTTTACAACTTTAAGGAAGCTAAATACTCTAGAGGAATTAGCCTATTTAAAGAGAGGAGTATAAAGCTTTTTTTTTTTTTAACATTACTATTGTGTATACATCCATTGTGTCTGATCTTGAAAGCAGGTCAAATTTGTGGGTGTCCCTTGCTACCAAAATTTTTCAGCGTCTCTAATCATTTCAGTTGTGTTTCTACACTCCTTTTATCTAACTTGGGGCAGTCAATATGAATTCAACATTGCAGGCAAGATCACACCAACTTACAGAATTCAAAGGCAGTATGTTTCCCAATCCACTCACTACATTAACAGCTAGTTTAGTTTCTACTACTGCACAGTTTTCACTAAGCCTTCTCTTGTCACCCACACTGGTTTGGGATTTTTGTCATCTTTTATGTTACTACCAGGTAAAACTCAGCACAGTTTCTTTTTCTCTCAAATACCAATTGCCAGTAAAATATTAGTCAAGATTACATTGCGTCTCTCATCCTGCTGTCCACCATCCTGCACATTATGCCTCTATGGCTTTTCTAGCTTTGATAACTGAAGTCATTTATCACCGTCTGTCAAGCTTGTCACCTCACCATTTACTACTTTTTCAAACGAATTCACTTGCATTTAGGGTCAGTCAAAAAGTTAAGCGTGTCATGACCAACCTGACAGGTTTCTAACAAAATGAATGAAAACAATCTCTCTCGCTTTCTCTTATCCTCAGTGGCAAAAGACAGAAGAGAAAGAAAACTAGGAAAAAAACTAAGAGAAAATAAAACTCAGAATATTCTCCCTGAAAATTTAAAGTATTCAGTGGGAGTTTAATTTTGCCATAACAAACATTAAAAATAATCTTCCAATAGTAAAAAGATTAACTTTGATTTTAAAAGATAAAATAACAAAGTTAACAAAGTTAACCTATACTGTCTGAATTATGCAATGCTAAAGTATCATATTCTCATTTTTTCCTCGCAATAAATACTGACCATTTATATCCCTACTTATTTTCAAACTTAAACGAACTTTCAGTTTACCAAATATCACTTTTGACTCCATGATCTATCTTAACCAACAGGGATGGGCTCTTTTGAGCTTCTGAAAGGTGCTAGTGACCCCTGGCAAGCTGTTTTATTTTAGCCACTGTTCTGCTATCAGGCTCACTAAATTTTACATGAAGTCTGAAAGGAGATTTTCTAAAAACACACTGTAGTGAAAGTTAAGAGTTCCATAGATGCACGAAACGATAATAAAAACCTGCCTCTAGGTCACCATCTAGCAAAATATAAATTCTTCAGTAAGGTAGGAAGTTAAGTATAATATTTGTACAGACTTTTTAATAGGTAAAATGGGTAAAAATTTGGGAGTTTCAGATTAATGGAGTTAATCGGAGTTAAACTTGGAGTTCCAGGAATGAGACATGCAGATCTCACATCTGGATTTAAGCACTTCCAGCTTGTTCCACTGCCCTCCAGTTCAGTCAGTATTCGACCAAGTTCCTACTTTCATGATCTAGTGCTCCATTACAAGCATCTAAGAAAAGTGAAATTTCCACTGCTCTTTCATCAATTGTGACCAAACTCTCTCATGAAGTATGAAAAAAACATTTAAGAGGAATACTTTTTGTTAGTGTTTAATGTTCTTCGATTCAGTAGACTGCACAGGATGGTCCAGAAAGAAAAGGCAGAACATT